AGAAAGTAATTATTGTATGATTTTAGTGATCAGTTCTGTGATGTTTACGCTGAAACGGCATTTAAAAAATTGAAAACCATTTCTAGCTTCCGCTTAGAACTCATGTTGTGCTTCTTGTGTTGTTTTGCTACTCGTCTTTCTTCGTCCTTAAAATGATAAGTTTGTTTGGGACATTAACAGAAGTTTTTTTTTTTTTTACTAAAATAACTGGCCCAGCTATGACTGCCCTATTTACCGGACCAGGTAGGAATTCGCATTAACTGATGTTTTTTTTTTTCTTCTCAGTTTAACACAGAGAACTCTTACACAATAAAATTTCAGCACCTTTGCTTTCTAAAGGTTCAGAGTCCTCTTAGTTCATAGCTTTTTCATTCAGTACGATGGTGTTGTAGTCTTCAGGGCTTAGTGCTATAAAATATTCCTAAACTACACAGTATTGAATCGTCGTTGTTTAGTGCTTCTTAATAATCGTGTGCTGAAAATAATACGCGCCTATCAAAACAACATTTTCATTTACTATGAAGCGAAACTTACAACGTACACTTAAAAAGTTCTGCTTTGATTCTTTTTTAATCCCTTAGTATTGATCAAAGGGGAAACAGTTTTTAAGGAGAGATCACTGTACTGCGTTTCAAGAACGAAGTTACTGAACAAATATTTATGGAAGATTTTATGATGGCCACCCGTGTGGACATAGACGAGCATGCATCACTCTTGCACCGCTCAAGCTATTACCTGCCTCTTCCACAAGACGACAGGCAAAAGAAAAGATCCATCAAACTGTCGGCTGTAGGCTTTGCCCTGCTGTTACTATGGAATGTTGGTGGCTCTTGTGTGTACATGATTCGCAGTGTAAATTGTTTCAAAGACAATTCCACCGTCTATTTTTGTGAGAAAGGCGCGGCGTTTCCATATTCCGAAGAACTGGTGATAACATGGCTTGCTACACTCTCCGTTTTCACAATCGTCGTCATCTTGGCATTGCAGAAAGTTCCAGATTTTCTTGGATACAAAGCCATCCTACATCAGCTGAAATTTCTTCCCTCTTATTGGACTCTGATGATTCTTTTGTTTGTATCCTTGACCAGATACGTCAAGCTCGCTATATCCGCCAAATCCATCAATTCCTGGATGATATTGATGGGTTTGGCTTTTAACTATATTCTAAGAACTATATTTGTTGGCTACTTGAATTATACGCAGTTGAATTTTCTGAAGCGTCAATATCCCAATTTTATCTTTGTGTTGTCAAAGCTTTCCGTGCTGGTGTTATTTGCCATCTCTCTAATGAACTTGCTCGCCACCATTTTGGAACTTACTGTTCAAGTTCATAAGGTGCATCGGTCTACGGGAGCACAACGCTCGGTGCATTTTGAAATGATAAATGATCTTCTGCGTGACTTTGGTACAACCACTTTCAGATTCAAAATGACGAGTTTCTTTTGGCAGAAACTTTTCATTGATGATAAGAATATTCTCTCTAACCAAGCACCTTTGCAGTGATAACATGGACGATAGAGCAGTAAAACAGAGAGTGTATAGATTGGTGGGAGTGACGGCCTCTCATCCCATTTGGTGCAATTTTCGATTGAGTGTCGAAAGTAATCGGAGATTTGTTTCAACACGCTCTATGATTGGTCCAGGAAACTCTCGCTCCCTTCGGAACCAATCAGATGCAACTCTAAACCCAATCGCAACTCGTACCCTCACGTGTTTCCGCGACTTTTGCAGTTTTGCTTTGTTTTACTTTGAATTTCTATCGGTTCTTTGAGATAATTTTCTTACCTCTGATTGGTCGATGTAATAACTTTGGCATTTGTTTCAAGACACTCGATCGAAATGCTCTATTAAGAATTCTATAACTTCCTCTCTATACGAACGACAGAGAAAATTGCTCCAACGAATTGTAAATAGTTTATTCCCTATCTATCGGGTTAGAAATGCACATGACATAATATTCTGTGTTTTCGTGTCTCCAGCGAAATTGTTAGTTAATTCTAATATGTTCCCTTAACATATAGAATCGTGACGCAACGGGAAAGGAATTTAAAGTAAGGAGGAGCGTTGCGTGACGAGTCTAAGAAGGGCTACGAAGGAGACTAGATCGCGCTGTTATTTCTACGAGTCGTGACGTTTGTTTTCCTAAAGCGATTCCCACGTACGGAAATTTGAATGGTTGCATTCTAATAAAAATTTCTTTGCTAATGGAGAAATTCTACATTTCCATCAGTCTGCTCTAAACGGCGAAATATTAGTCTTTGAACGCTGTGAAATATTCGCCGCCTGAGTGCAACGACAAATCAACACGCCGCTTGTTGTATTTTAGTGAACATTTGAAAACGATAGTGGCTACGTTAGTGCGTGACAGTCTGTTGCTTCATTAAGCAAGAAACAGTAAAGTCCCAGAAAGAAACGTGTGAAAAATAATGGAAATCATGAGTTTGAAAGAGTTTCGTAAAATAAATACCTGCTTTGGCCGAAAGCATGGTAGCGCCTATGAAAATGCGATTACTAGTGCATGACGAAACGCATTAAGGAGAAGGGTATAAGGACGAACGGGGAACACGAGAAAAAGCCTAGGGTTAGGGTTAGGGTTTATCCTATGAGGACGGGCACAGGAACACATGTGAAAGATTCCCTTTTATCATTTTAAACGTTCCTTTTCATGTTTTCCTGTTACCGATGCCAGTATACATTCGCGGGTGTGTGCTATGAGATACACTTCCTTCTCCAAATCCTCACAAGACTTTGAGGTGGCCCGCCGCCATTTTGAAAACCAGGAAGATCTTGGGAATGAGTTCCGATCTTGCTAATTTGTTATGTCCCTTTTCAAGGAAAATAACTTTGCTCCGTCACCAATATTGCGTTCCTCATATCTATCACTCCTCCGTAAGAAAATAGGTCTTTTTCATTTTCCTTAATATTTATTTTTTAACGCGATGTTGAAAGTAAGGCTTTGGGCCTTTTTTCAGATTTTAGATTTTCTTTTAAGAAAAGACACCGTTTAGTTACAAAGCCTACCAGCGAAGTTTTTGGATTTTTCAGCGTCAAGATCCTTTCCTTTCACAGAATGGTGTCAACAATGTATTTCTGTTGATTTTTTTCTCTTTTCACGTGCAAATTCATTACGTGATTTTTTTTCCTTTTGTTTCATGCTGACTGATCATGAGCGAGTAGACTTGTTATCAATTCCGCACCAGCTATGTTAATCCATATTCATCTAAAAATTGTAGAATTTTCAGCAGACTACGCTGTCCGCCGACAAGTGAATTCGTGCAGTTCCTTTGCTGAATATGAAATTGTAAATTGTACGGAAGACGCTAAAAGTGTAGAGAGAAACAACGGATAGTTGTCCTTGTTTCTCTAGAAGAAGGTGAGTACGTATTCTTGAGAAAATGTTACTCTAAAATCCTTCACAAAACTGAACAAGTCGCAAAATCTTAGCTGAACACGTGTCAGTTCTTTGGTTAAGCAGCTCTTCAACTCGTTGTTCGATTGAGCAAGGGTGTCAGCCTCTGCAGACACAGAACGCATAATTGTAATAAATTGTGGGTAAAATTAAAATTATTTCGGAAGTCGACCGCAAAAGATACCTTTAGTTGAACGCGTCCACGTGTATTTTTGAAGGCTTAATTTCCCAAATCCCCCTCTTACTGAATTTTTTAGGGCAAAGAAATGATACCCGTTTTGTCATTAAAAATTCTCTTGATTGCATATGTTCGTAAGCATTGTCATCCAACCTTCCAGTATATTTAGAGTAACAAACAATCCCTAATCAATTCAATAATTTGTTTTCAGGAAGTGCTGCTCTCAGACGAATGGAAGGATGAAAGAATATGGCCAAGAGGAGACATTGGAATCACTAAACATAAAAAGGATACTGCAAAGATAAGATCTTTGAAGTTATTGAGTAACAGTGGCAAAAAATAATGGCTGTATAATTTATTGTATTTCTGTGAGAAGACTCAACGTCTACACACCAATTGCCTGATGTTATTAAAGATGTGCTCCGAATTAAAAATAATCAATTGATGAGTGAATATTAATTGAGCCACCATTTTTTTGAGTTATTTTAAAGTGATACGGATTGTTCTGCAAACCTTGAGCGATAATGTGTTTTTTTTCTCATATTCCCACTGATAGCTCTCATTTGATGTACCTTATCTTTGATATTGCAGCGGCAGATATAGAAACTAAACATCGCTATAAAAATGAACAGAAAAAAAGCTGAAACTAACTGAATTGTTGATGTTTTTGGACTGATCGCTAGTATTTTGTTTGCTTAACGGTTAGTATCACAGTAAAATCCAAGTTGATGTCGCAAGAAGATGATACATGTTTTGGATGGCACTGTAACTTTAAAACTTTTTAAAAAAAAAGACTAGATGAAATTGAACTATTCAAATCAAGAAAAAGAAGAATTTATCTCATAACTGATTTACAACAAAATACATACTATAAATACATACCGTTGACCGTACGTACATGCATACATACATACATACATACATGCATACATATCAAAACACATACCGTTGACCAACAAGCCACGCTAATGACTGGGACAACAGAGTGACTAGACATTGACAAACCAACGGTTCTGAAGAGAGTCATTAAGACATTTACACCAAAATATTTCTTAGTCTTACATGTACATTGACATCACGGAAGACTATCTGGTCTAGTTTTTACGAATTTTCACTGCGACAGAAACACTACACGAGCGACGCTTTCACTCAAAGATAAATTTTAGATACAAAAATAAAAGCCTTAAGCAACAATTACCAGATGAAAACCAAGGTGGTTTGTTGATATCTCATCATCATCATCAGGAATTGAATTGATGAGTTAATTTGGTTCAACGAAGAGGCTTTTCATTTCTTGTCATTCCACCTTTTTTCTATGAAAAGTTGAAAACAAAATAACTACAGTGCCATCTTAAAACTTGTATTTTTCAAGTTCCACTGTATTGTTACTTAAACCATCTACAATCGATTCCGGACGAAGAAGCATAAATTATGATCTTTCGTATGAATACACCTTTTTAGCTATGTGGTCACGTGGTTTAACATGGGTAAAGAGTGATTCAAAATGGATGCTCAAGCTTGTGTAGTGAACGACATCTTACAGAAGAAATATCCTTTCTTTTCTTGCCAAAATTGTCATATTCAAAGATAAATCAGCACTTAAAACATTAAGGTAATAAAAGTAATCGGTGGCAATGTAAGGTTAATTAAGTGGCCAATCGAATTAAAGCTTTTATTGAAAAACAAACTTGTGAACAAACGATCTCAAAAGATCACCAAAATTCATGAAAGAAACAGAAACGGGAGTGGATTACCACTCCCGTAGAAATTTTTGGTGATTTAGTGATGTTAGGTTAGGTCGAAGCTCTATTGAAAAGTGAAAAGTTTCCTCATTCGCGTCAGTGGAAATATCGTAACAAAGGTAGTGAATTGAGTATTTACTCATGCAAATTTAAACTACAGTATTGTGCTACTAATGTTGAAGAATCATAGCATGGATACTTAACTTCTGAAGCTTAGGATCCTCAGGGAATTTATGAGAAGACAAACCCGAATCTGGAGAATTATCATAGAAGATATGAACGAAACAATTTTGGAAAATTCTTCTTGCTTCGCAGTAAAGTAATTATGGCTGCTACTGTTTCTTACCCATGTCGGATGTGACCATATAGCTAAAAAAGGTATATTCATTTGGTGGTAAATTCTTTAACGAGCGTTTCGCTTTTAAAATTTTGACACCATGTTCGCACGAAATTTGGATCTTTTCAGAAAATTCGTTAGCTGCAGCTTTATCTCTTAAACGTCATCACCTATTAATCGTGACGAAAAAGGTCCAGAATTTTTGGACTAATCTTGCCCTGTGTGCATGAGTTTGTGTAGAAATGCTTTGATGTTGCAAAACATTCAAAACCAACTATAACAGTTCGGTAATTCAAACTTTATTGAGTAAATAGAGATTATTCCATGGTTAAAGCGCAAGAACGATTTTTATTCATGAGTTGCGAAGCATCAAAATAGCGAATGAGAGAGTCAAAATTGTTTATTTTTTTGCTGGTTTACGAAACGCTTCCTCGTCAAATTGAACCTTCATGTTTTTCTTGAAAATCTTTTAAATAGGTCTGGCTCTACACGACATATCACTATTTTACTCTTTGTATCAGGCATTTTGTTTTAAACTGTAGAGTAGTTTATTAACTCTTATTGTAGATTGAAGATCTTTTGTGCTGTCATTCGATGTAACAGGAACATAGAGAAAAAATGTTTTTCAAAATCTGATGAATAAATCTTCAAGTTACTCATTTTTCTCTATATTTATTTATTTTTAGTTTCATTGAATAAAGACCGATCTCTCAACTTATGCAGAAACGTTAATTTTTTTCACAAAAAATCTGGAAAATTGGGAACTTGTTCGCTGAAGATGTTGAAATGAAAATCAGAGTTAACTCTAAAAATTCGTTGCGGATTTCGGATTTCGGTGGAAAAATTCTGATTGAAGAATCTTGCCAGGATGCCGACATGGTTAAACACTCTTGAACATCATCCTGTGCAAAAAAACTTTACCTAAAAAAACCTGACATCGGAAAATTGTTAATTTTTTGCCGTCGAGGACTGATATGAACTTTTGATTCCATTCCCTTTTTTTGCATGAGAAGATGTTCAATAATTTTTGGCGAGAAATTTTTATGGAAACTTCTTAAAATTTTTTGCGCTAAAAG